AGGAATTAGAGATGGGAATGGATCCCATGGATTGGAGGGTTTGGAGGAATTAGAGATGGGAATGGATCCCATGGATTGGAGGGTTTGGGAGGAATTAGAGATGGGAATGGATCCCATGGATTGGAGGGCTTGGGAGGAATTAGAGATGGGAATGGATCCCATGGATTGGAGGGTTTGGAGGAATTAGAGATGGGAATGGATCCCACGGACTGGGGGGAATTAGACAGAGGAATTTGGTGGAGCTGGGAATGGGATCCCATGGATTGGAGGGAATTAGACAGAGGAATTAGGTGGAGCTGGGAATGCGATCCCATGGACTGGGGGGATGTGGGATGTGGGATGTGGGGTGGGAAGAGGGAAGACCGGGAAAGGTTTGTTGTTCCGATGAGGAGCGGGGTTTTGGTGGATCATTGGGTTTTCAATGGGTTCTTCCTGCAATTCCGAGGTCAGATCCAATTTTTCCCTGGATTTTCCCTGGGTTTTTCCCTCCATCCATCCCTCCTCATCCCAGTGATCCCAGCATCAGATTTGGCTTTTCCCTGGGTTTTTCCCTGGGTTTTTGCTCCATCCCATGCTCGGATCATGGATACCATGGATAGCATGGATTCATGGATATTCTGGGTTACGTGGATAGAGTGCGTATCACATCTGGTGGTTCCGTTGGGATTTGGATTGGGATTGGGATTTGGATTGGGATTGGGATTGGATGTGGCGTTATCCCACTGCTCCTCATCCCTGCCAACCACATCCCCTGGGAATATTGGTTTGCCTGGGATTGGGAATGGTCGCTGGTTCCGGTGTCCCTGACGTGTCCGGGGATTTTGGGATATCCCTGCGGTGCCCGCGGGGTCTGGGTTTGGATTCGGAGGATTCTGTTGGAATTGTGGAATCCTGGAATGGGAAGGATCCTAAGAATCCAATTCCACCCCATTCCAAGGGCAGGGACACCTCCCGCTATCCCAGGTTGCTCCAACCTGGCCTTGGAATTTGGGAAGCTCAGGAATTAGGGATGTGCTGGAGGCAGATCCAGAGTGGGATCCAAAGGCATCAGGAGGTCAAAAATAGTGTGGATTTTCAAATCCACAGTCTTGGAAATATTCCCAAAATTCCCTGGAGCAGCTCTGCCCAACTCCTTGTCCAAACTTCCCGAGGATTCCTGGAGCTTGCTCCGTGATTCCCAACCTTTTGTGTGAAGAATATCCCTAGGAAAGAGCATTTTGCTCCATTATTCCCAGGTTTTTCCAGGGATAGAGGGGTCGTGGAATTCATTCCATGGAGCTGGGGCAGGAGAAATTCCCAGTTTGCAATCGGAACAGTTCAAGTTGGAAAAAAATCCTCGGAGGTTTTAATTCCCAACAAAAACTCCTTCACTCCGTGGCAAGGGATATCCATAACAACCGGAGTCTCCCCACATTTTCCTGGAAAAATCCCGGAGAAAAAAGGATTCTGGGGCAGCTTTTCCAGGGAATATCAGGAATATTTAGTGTTGTCCCAGTTTTTAATTCCAAGGGAGGTTTTCCAGCCCCTTTCCCAGCTCCCTCCCTTCCCTTTTCCTGCTCCGGCGCTGCTCCCGGAATTCCAGGGGATCCCGCAGCCGTTCCCAGGAGCAGCAGGGCTGGGCCAGCAGAACTTTTCCATGTGTTTTTCCCAGGTTTTATTGGGATCCCTCCTCCCTCCCTCCCTCCCTCCCACCCATTCCCCGCGTGCCGGAGCCTCCGGAGCCTCCGGAGCCTCCGCGCTTTTCCCAATCCCACTCCCACACCACGAGTTTCCCCATCCAACTCCTCGTGCCGGGATCATCCCTCCGGATAGTTCGTTCCTTACATTCATCCCAGCCTCATTCCCGGTTTTTGGAGCCCTCTGGATTTGGGAAGGATCTTGGATCCATCCTGGTTTTCCTTCCCAGCTCCCAGCGCATCCCAGACATTCCCATCTTGGGAAGGGACGCTTTGGAGCAGGGAATCATCCCCTGGATCTGGGAAGAGCCGGGATTTTTGGGATCAGCTCCTTTTCCCACCAATCCATGGCAATTCCCTCTGATCCCACATTTCTTCCATCCAGGCTTCGTTTGCTCCGGGTTTTTTTTTTTTTTTCCAAGGGAATTCAGTGTATGAATTCCTCCAGTTTTCCTTATTCCCATTTTTTTCCCCTCTCCTGGACACGAAGCTGGAGTTTCCAATGTAATTCTTGGAATGCTTTAATCCCTCCTCAACATTCCCGATGTGTCCGGCCGGGCTCATCCCAAATTCCTCATTCATTCCTGCTGCTCCTTTCCAGGTGGGATTTTCCCAAAATGTCCCCGTTTATCCCAGATTTCAGCGCCTTGGAATTTCCACATCCACAGGGAAGTTTTCCCTCTCTGCCCTCAGCCAAAGGAACACCAGGAATTCCCAGCAATTCCTGGGATTTTTTTTAGGGAATGAAATGAATTGTGGGAATTCCCTCCGTGGGCATTTCCCGGTGGGATGCAGAGGTTTGGATTTTCCCAGGAACAATTCCAGGTTTCCAGGAGGTGTTTGGAGTCAAATCCCACCCCTGGAAGTGCCCAGGGCTGGGTCGGGTGGGGTTTGGAGCAACCTGGGAAAGGGAAAGATGTCCCTGTCCATGGAGAACAATCCCGGGAATGTTGGGAAGAGGTCCTGGAAACTTTAGGGAATGAATCTTGGAAATGCTGGGACAATCATCCTGGAAATGTTGGGAGACTCATCCTGGAAATGTTGGGAAACCATCCTGGAGTCTTTGGGGAAAAGATGCTGGGAATGTTGGAGGAAATATCCTGGAAAATTTAGGGAAAGGATGCTGGAAATGTTGGGATAACAGTCCTGGAAATGTTGGGAGAATCATCCTGGAAATGTTGGGGAAATCATCTGGAAACTCTGGGAGAACCATCCTAGGAATACTGGGAGAACAATCCTGGGAATGTTGGGAGAAGGATCCTGGAAACGCTGGGCAAAATTCAGTGGGAATTCAGGAATTCTTCCCTAATTCTGCGTGAAAATTCAGGAATTTCTCCAGTCGTGTGGGAATTCAAGAATTCTTCCTAATTGTGTTTGGGAATTCAGGGATTTTCCCCGATTCTGTGGGAATTCAGGAATGTTTCCCGAATTCTGTGTGAAAACTCAGGGATTTTTCCCAAAGCTCCAACCCCATCCGGGCAGCTTCGCTCCTGGAATTTTTTGTCGATGGAATTTTTCTCCTCATGGAATTTTTCTCCCCATGGAAATCTTGGCAGGGGCTGCTCAGGGAGCTTTGGACCCCCATCCCTGGAGGTGTCCAAGGAATTCCTGGAATTCCACTCAGGGCTCTGGCGGGGGGCTCAGGATGGGCTCGGTGCCCTTGGAATTCTTTCCCAAGCTCTGGAATTCCGGGGTTGGGGCTGAAAGCCGAGCTCTTCCCAAGCTTTTCCCCGGAGCTCTTCCCAAGCTTTTCCCCGGAGCTCTTCCCAAGCTTTTCCCCGGAGCTCTTCCCAAGCTTTTCCCCCGGAGCTCTTCCCAAGCTTTTCCCCCGGAGCTCTTCCCAAGCTTTTCCCCCGGAGCTCTTCCCAGGCTTTTCCCCCGGGAATTCCTGGGGCGATTCCCGCCAGGAGAGAAGGGAGCGGAGCCGGGAAAGGCGGGAAAATTCCAGAGGGAGCCGGGAAAGGGCTCGGCCTGGGCACAGCAGGGGGGCACAGGGTGGCACAGGTGACAGAGGGCAGAGGGTGGCACAGGTGACAATGGCACCCAGGGGTGGCACAGGTGACAGAGGGCAGAGGGTGGCACAGGTGACAGTGGCACCCAGGGGTGGCACAGGTGACAGAGGGCAGAGGGTGNCAGGTGACAGAGGGCAGAGGGTGGCACAGGTGACAGTGGCACCCAGGGGTGGCACAGGTGACAGAGGGCAGAGGGTGGCACAGGTGACAGTGGCAGCCAAGGTCGCTGTGGGTGGCAGTGGCACTGGGGCACAGGTGACAATGGCACCCAGGGATGGCACCAGTGGCACTGAAGCACAGGGGTGGCACAGGTGACAGAGGGCACTGGGTGGCACAGGTGACAATGGCACCCAGGGGTGGCACAGGTGACAGAGGGCAGAGGGTGGCACAGGTGACAGTGGCACCCAGGGTCGCTGTGGGTGGCAGCGGGCACAGATTGGCACAAGTGACATTGGGGCACAGATTGGCACAGGTGATAGGCACAGGGTGGCACAGGTGACAGTGGCACCCAGGGGTGGCACCAGTGGCGCTGGGGCACAGGGTGGCACAGGGTGACAGTGGCACTCAGGGTCGCTGTGGATGGCATTGGGCACGGGGTGGCACAGGTGACAATGGCACCCAGGGGTGGCACGGGTGGCAGTGGCACCCAGGGGTGGCACCGGTGTCGCTGTGCCCGGGCAGGGCTCTGCCCCCTGGGAGCATTCCCGGGATTCCTGCAATTCCCCCAGTTCCCAAAATCCCACAAATCCCGCCATCCCTGGAATTCCCGCAGTCCCTGAAATCCCTGGAATTCCCGCAGTTTCCCGGCAAAAATTGGGGGAGGGGCGTAAATACGGGATTGGGGTGGAAAAATGTGGAATTCTGGGGGAAAATGTGGAATTAGGGGCACGGCGGGCACCCCCGAACCGGGAATGGGACCTGGGGACCCTCCCAACTTCCTTCCTTCCGCTCCCATCCCGTTCCCATCCCAATCCCATCCCGATCCCATCCCGATCCCATCCCGATCCCATCCCATTCCCATTCCCATTCCCATTCCCATTCCTGTTCCCACTCCCATTCCCATTCCCGTTCCCACTCCCATTCCCATTCCCGTTCCCATTCCCATTCCCATTCCCCATTCCCATCCCCATCCCCGTTCCCATTCCCATTCCCATTCCCATTCCCGTTCCCGTTCCCGTTCCCGTTCCCATTCCCATTCCCACTCCCATTCCC